ACTTCTAACATAAGTCCTATTGAAATGTCGTTTCCAGCTTGCGATGGTCGTGGATCCGGATTTAAGAGATTTCATTCAGGAGCGACGTTTGCAGGCCACGGAACCTACGGGAGCATTCCCCGCGGGATCAGGACAGACATTTTATCAACAAGCAGAAGACATCGTTTTCTCGATAGCAGGCATCTCGCTTCTTACCGTTCAACCGCATGTTGCAACTTCTTCTGTTGGTCGGAAGGAACTTACCTTTTTGATGACAAGACCAAAACTTTCTAGTGAAATCTTTTGCATTGAAGGCTGAAAAACTTGATCTGACTTCTCAACGGAGACTGCTTCCTCTTGCAGCAAAGAGCACCAGAAGCTTCATTGGAGGACGCACAAGAACCATTGCCAGCCCGAGAGGTTAATGCGACCTGATTGGCTAGTATTCTGAGCCAGTAACTGCAGCGTTGGCAGAATAAGCAGGGGAACGACCTCATCGAGAGTCTCATTGCATTTTTTTCGTATTCAGAGGGTTCCGTCAGAAGGGAAAGCGCCATAGCTTGAAGATACCCGAGTAATTGATGTTCTGTTCGATGTTCAGCTCTTCAAGCGGAAGCGGATAACCACCATTTAGCTGACCCGGTTCGTTTTAGAGCGGAAATAAATATTACCGGCGCCATCATGATGTGTATACATACGGTATGACGTAGAGACGGTGAATTGAGGACAGTAAGCGGCTCATATGGTATACGAGTCCACGCCAGTATATGAGGCCACGCTCAGAGAGAGGAAGTGGTAGTATGAGACCACGCAGCGCACCTCTGCATGCTGGCTCGTGCACATGACGATAGCTCATGGCATAAGTTATGTATGATGAATGGCCATACCGATAGGAGGTTCAGCTAAAAGGCGGCCCGATTCATGCCCTAAAGGAAGTATATATGTTGGGCTCTCTTAAAAGAGCCAATGACCAGGACGGATGCGCGCGGCGCGAAGTGTACTGGCGAGAGGTCAAGTATACGTGTGGTTACTAGGGCAGATCGTCATGCCTGGCGATTGAGTTCGGCCTTCTGTCCTTATCATCGTAATACCACCCCGATTGGAAAAGTGATCCAACTTATTGTGACAGACCTGGAAGGACATGTTCAGAACGCTTATACACGAGACTGGCTGAGGCTTGGGCTTCACACAATTTTGCGTGGCTTCACATCAAATAGGCTAGTACGGTCGCCAACGGCGAAAAGAGCATGGGTGCACCTCTTCCCCATGCAAGAGAACGTGCTGAAACAACATATCCCTGCTCAACAGCACGGACGTTTACGTACTGGGTCGGACGAAGACGCCCAGTAAAGATAAGGTTTTTGATCGCTTGCATAATCCGTACTTCTCCGTAGACCATTACGACGTGACTTACATATGAGAGCCCTCTAATAGGGGACGGTACGCTGATTTTAAGCGCGGGCACCCGGTTCCTGAAGTTATCTGGCGATTAACAGCGCGCTGCCCCAGAAAACGTCCTCGACCGGTCATCCGGGCATGATATCTCAAGGTTGTTATGCAGATGGAAAAGCGGGCTCTCAGGTACAGCTATTCTGATTCAATTTGGCATACTTGGTCTTGGAGTCTATTCAGCAGTCTGCTTGCTTCCTCAGCACACTTCGAGAAGACAACTCCGAAGACGAGAAACTCTACTGTACATCCATTGAAGGAGGAATCCACGTTCTAAATGCGGAGCCGGACCAAATCTGCTTCCTTGCAGAGAAATTTGCCTGTCAAGCCTGCGATAACTATTTTCAAAGGACAAGGAATGGATGTCAGACCAATTTCGTACATGGATCGTCTGCAAATTCTAACACGAACGGAACGACACCAGAAGACGGGTCAGAGACGGCCTCCAAAAAACTTCTTCCAAATCTATTTGATCTCGGTAAAAGACCGAGTTATAAGTTTTATGAGACCCGTCGGAGAGTGCCTTCCCTTCTCAAAAAGCATTGACGTACAATGTGCCAGCAGAATCTTAAACCTGGGAGTCTGGGATATTTGAATCTAACACCTTCAGATCGATGCCGTTCTTTGCTTTTCCAAGGACTTGTATGACGTCAGTGGACAGCCGTTATCAGCCCCAAATCTTCTCTTACGGAACGCCCATTCGCCCCTTCGCCTCTTCCAGTTGCCGCGCGTGCTCCGGACAAAAGCTCGCGCCCTTTCGGTCCGTTTCGGACAGCGTGTTGGAGAACCACATGACGCAGTCGCGCCGCGCGCAGTGCGCCACACCGAACACGTGCCCCAGCTCGTGCACCGCCTCGATGCGCGCGCGAGCGCGCAGCCGCGCGGATAGCGTCCAGCCGCGCGGTTGAGAAGACAGCCGCCCTTTCAAGAGACAATGCTTCGTTGAAGGCGAAGTTGAGATCAGGCACGTAAAGCTCGACTGACGTCACCCCGAGGTGGATCTCGTCATCTCGCGCGTTCTTGTCCGCGAGGGCGCGCAGGAAGTGCGTCGTGAGGAACTGCTGACGCCCCCTGGAGAAGGCGTCGCTGGGAATGGGGAGCTCTTTGCCTTTCGTTGTCCGCATGCCAAAGCTTTCTTGGATATCCCGCTGGTCGAATTGGGAAGTTCAGTTGGGAGAATCGGAGGGTTTTGAAGGGATGCACCACAATCTTGGGGCGCGCGGCCGCCCTGCCGCCGGCACTATTTGCTGCGGTCGCAGGCGACATCTTGTCAGCCATTCTGTGCTCACTCTTGGAATGAGCCTGTGTTGTTGAGCAGGATGTTTCAGCTGAATACCTCCTCAAATGCTGCTTGGCCGAATCTGCAAGAGCCCGTACGCCTCTTTCCTTCTCCCGTACGTGATCAAGCCGGGGAGCAGCTTAAGTTCTAAAACTCATGCGAGCACCCCTGCCAAAGTTTTTCGGTTCACGTTTCGCACAAGCAGCAATGCTCGTCGCAGTAACGTTGAATTGCCCTATTCCAGCAGGAAACCTTGAACTCATTCGAGAAGCCCCCTCGCCCCACCTGATTCTACTCCTCATTTTTCCGACTCTGTCGTAAGCGGTGCATCTTTTCCACCCAGCAGCCCCGCTCGCTGCCCATGCATGGCTAAAGTATTCGAATGCCATTCCACCAGAAAGACTGTTTCTCTCACCTTCATTGAGATCGACCCTCGCCCATTTCGTTCACGTCAGCGGATTCTCGTCCGTGGAATACTCCGTATGATCTGCCCGAGCGGCGCGCCCCCGCTCGCAGGGATACGTGAGACGACCTTTCTTACTGTGTATCATATTCATGTAAAGCACAGAGATAACTTCATGCCTTCTACGCCGAGATTTGCCCGTGAGGATCTGAGGAGAGTTCCTTTCCCAATCAACTTTCTCGGACTTCGTTACAAACTTCACATACATTGAGAAACAACCATGTATGTCTTATGAAGAAGATTCGTCTCTGAAATTGAGAGTATTGAGATGGATAATTGATGCTACGAACGGGTTCTTCAATCCATACGATGTATATACCATGTTGTACCTTCTTCAAGAGAAGCTACTAATAGTGGGGCGAGGGGGCCGCGAGATGTCGATGGAATGCAGTAAAGCCCGTCAATCGATCGGACTATGGGTCACTCGTTTAACGTACTATTGAAAGCAGGATGCCTCATAGCAAACAAGCGGCAACTTTTGCGTCAGGCTTCCGAAGGAAGGGACCGTACGCGGATCATTCTGACCTTCGCAAGACCTTAAAGATTGACTTTGTTGAGCGCGGCCAACGAACCTTCCCAGATCGAAAATGACAAGGAGCTACGGCAGGGAAAGGATTATCCAGGTGATGAGTGGGTCAGAGTTGGTGGCGTTTCAAGATGTGGGACCCCAAATCTACGTACCTCTCTTTCAAGTATTGAGGGGAAAGATGACACACATGGGACACGCCTGGTCGCTGAGCTGTGCGCCCCCCATCACATTTGGTTTTGTAGGCTCTGCAAAGAATACCAAGCATGGCAGCAAGGAACTTCCTGACAACCACAACAAGCATCTCGTGAAATGGACACGTCCAATGAACTGTGAAATAGGAGCCTTAGGGCTCTCTATCGTCCATTTCAGCAATCGACTGCACCACTTACAGTCCGTGCAACGAACCGATTCTGAAGGTTGCAGGTTCTAAACTAATGTACTAGTCGCTTCGGAAATGCGCCATCCGCCATTAACACAAGACACATGTCCGAGTCCGAGTCTGATTTTTCTCAAAGCAGACTTGGGATCGCTACTCCGGCTCCAGCTCCTTCCATCGCGCTTCCCTCCCGCCTTTCCTGCCTGGCTTCGCTTCTGCGTTCGTGATGACCAGCTGGGCCTGACAGTGTTTCCTGTGAGTCCTCCAGTGAAGTTTCTGGTGCTCCTTGCTGCAGAAAGAGTCTCCTGGCGGTTTCGCTTTTGCAGAAACGGAAGGAACATGCAGGTTCATTTGGATTCGCGATTGGATTCGCGATACTTTTCGACCTCATGCTCCCCATCTTCCCGGCAGACGTCACACAAACTCGATGGAAATGAGTTCAAAGGTTTGTGATTTATTCAGGTGAAAACAAGAAGAGAATTAATTGAGGCACTCAGATGACCTACTCTGAGCGGAAAGAGTCGCAGATCTCGGAGAGAAAGAATGCCAAGATGCAAGAGCTTCCCTTCCTACGAGAAGCTTTCCCAATAAGCCACAATTCGGAACGAACTTTACTAACCGCAGCAGAAACTACATCATTCTCTGCTCCTGCGCTCTTCTTTAGATGTTTTCGACATGACGAGAGACTCGGTTTATAACAAGCTCAAGATCGCCTCCATTCTCTGATCGAGGCTGTCTTTCAATGTTTTTGACATGACGAGAGACTCGGTTCATAACAAGCTCAAGATCGCCTCCATCCTCTGATCGAGGCTGCCTGCAATGACTCCACAAGATACCCTTAAGTGCAGAAGCTTCCATCATACATTGGAAAGGCCAGAACTCTTCCGTACAGCCAACCAATCCTCTCTTGCAAAATAGACACGTTTCTACACTCACCTGCAGTAGCGCGCCACCTGACAGCGCGCGCATCTGCTGAAACCCCCCGAGTCTGGCTCCGGCCCAGCGGTACTCAGCTTCCAAGAGCACACGGTCCGCGTGGGGAAGGCGCCAGAAGTAGCATGCCTTCTGGCAAACCTCCAACGCTCGTCCGAGTACGAAATCTTGAAGCCAGGCCAAGGGTGGTCGCCGTCCATTCGCCTCAGATTGGGTGGCACCTTGCCTGACAACCCCGCCTTGAGGCGACCCCAAAACACCTCTGACTCTGGTGAAGCGGCATTGATGATGTCTTTGTGAACTTTGAGACGGGAGAGAGCGTTAAGCTGCTGCAGCTTTTTCAGGGCTTCCTCTGTCTCTACCAAGCGCAACAGCACCGTGTTGCATCTGCTTGCTGCGATTTTCTGACGCCCGCTGGGATCATCGGAGACAAGTAGATTGGCTATCTCGCGCCTGTGCGTGCTCTCATAGACTGCGCAGAGGATATCGAGCAGGCCCACATCTAAGAGCCATATCTGGCTGTCAGCTGAGAAAGCGAGCGCTGCAATCACGCTCGTCAGAAGAAACTTTAGGTCCCGAGCTCGCTGTGGATCCGCGTCGAGTTTCTTGGCAAAGTCCTTTGAGAAGACGCGCTTGAAACCTTGCAATATTTCAGCTATGTTTGGCAGGTTTCTGATGGCATCGCGGAACACTCTCGAGCCTTTGGATAGATTGGCCAAGCCGTCGATGCCGTATCGCAGCAAGGATTTTGGAGGTTCGGACGAAGCTTCCTGATCTTGGGAGAAGAGCATGTCAAGACCTTCCATGAAGTCAAAGGCAAACTCCTGAACAAGAGACTGAACAGTCGCAACATCCTTCGATAAGCACTCTACGACAACGTTGCTGTCCATCAGCCTCAGGAGAGCCCCGATATATGGAAACGTAAGACGATCGCCAACATCAGATTGTTGCCCTTCCTCCCCACTTGAGCTCCGCTCATAATGCTCAATCATTAAGTACGTCTGCATGCCTGGTATCCTTCTAGGTGCGTGCAGAACGCGTCCTAAGAGGACCCTCAAGACAGACCCTCCGTTGAATGCTGCTAGCTCTTGCAGTTTTCTAGAGTAGTCCGTCGTATCTGCGCATGAATGAGCGTCCCTCAGCTTCCGAGTACCGCTCAGTCCCTCATTTGGATTTTCCGACGTAAGCAGGGCGGCGCAGTGCTCAATAAACTGATCAAGGTCTGTGGCTTCCATCTTTCACGAAGGCATTGAACCCTTAGGCCAGGATATCCAAGAGGCGACTGAGCTTATTCGGTTTTCTGCACGCTCCTGAAGCGGGACACCATGAGATGTAATCACCTCTGAGAGCTTTTGCGCACTATGAGAAAAGAGACTTGTTCGGGCTTGGATTGCCAACCGTGCCGGCAGCAGAAACACTTTACTCTTTCAACCTTTGAAACTCTGAGTCCTGCCCTTGCGACAATAAAGCCCAGGATTGGTTCCACTTGGTTCCTCAGAATGAAGGAAAGAGACGCTGCTTGTGACGTACTTTGAACAGGCTTCTGAATTTCTCGGTCGTTTCAGCCTTGCGGCTTAAGGCTGGCGAGAAGATGTGCTAAGCTGGCAAGTCCGGGAGTCGATCGTCTGATGCATGCTTTCTGCCTGGGACTTTAACTGCCGTCGTATCGTTATGCACATCGTTGAGTCCTGACTCCAATGTTGGCATCAGGTCTGACGTGTACTAATCGAAACACTCAGGTTCGTCAAGAAAAGCTCAAAGTTCACATCGAACTTTGGTGCCGAGGAAAATCTTTGAAACGTAGTCGACTACTTTCAAGCACCATCGGTTCGACCTAACTGCACGATCAACTAATTGATAGCTATCTCGCGGAGCTGTGCCCTGGTTGCTTGACGCTCGAGGAGCTGCTATGTTAACCATGAGCGCGGCGGCGTATACGTCTTATATAATTCGATCAGAGAAGCCGCTTATATGTTCTTTCAATTTGGCATCAAGCTCAGCGCCAGCCCATGGGTCAGTCGCCTCAATCTGGCTTCTGGCAGGAGATTAAACGCAGGTGGCGACAAATGCAGGATGACTGTACTCAAAGTTCGTTGCGTATAATGATGCTGGCATTGCGGACACACGGATCGATCAGCTGGGCGACCTTGACAGAAATTACTATGTACATGCAAGTAATCCTTTATTGTGTCAAGGACATGTTTATCATGCAATCCACTGCATGTGTCTAAATTTCAGCCTCTTCATGCCCTTTAAGCGGCCTTCTTTGGACGCTTCGATGATCGATCTGCTGGCACATCACCAAATGCATTGCGTGATAGGCATACATAAGGTACCGCGTCAAGCATATCACGTTCCACCCACCACCGCGGCATGCTGGTGTGCCACATACAAGCCCGGCTGAATACGCCCAGCTTCCGCGCAAAAAAGAGAGCCAGGTAGATCATAGTCCACAATCACAACACACCGGTCATCAACTGACCGGCACTGCCCGCTTCAGGGCAAACTGCACTGGACTCTCTAAGACTTGCACCTCCGTCTGCCCCCACACATCTTTCCGTGTTGGCAAGGCTACCAACGTATCTACTACCGGCATATCCTCAGGAATCACGTGCCCAAAGACCGTATGCGCTGTATCCCACTCTACATGGTCCCCAACGCTGATGAAAAACTCGGGGCCGCCCCCGATGAGGCACACTGTGCCACGCACGGCGACCGTGGCGCCCTCCATTGGGATCTCCTCGAAGGCAAGGCCGTCCGCTTGAAGGCTCCCCTGGAGAAGGGCGTACGGGGGACCGGGTGGCGCCTGCGTGGAGAAAGCGAAAAAGGAAGACGTGAGACGAGCCACGATGTTACAAAAGTTGGAAGTTGAGCCTGCCTTTTCACAGTTCAAGTCGAGAACGATATGAATCAGAGTAGAGGACGGGGCGGAGGACAAACGAGCAGGACAGAAATTGGAGAGGCCCGATCGTCTGCAGCACTTTCCGAGCTGTGCATAAGGCAAGTGATTAAACTCTGGATGGCTGAGAAAACAGCCAAAAGGACAGAAACGCTGAGTGAGCTTTGTGATAAAGATGCGCATTCCTGATTCAGTTGCTCTCCGTATTTTCCCTGCCTTTGCCCTGACTAACGAGTGTTTGCGAATCTTCCCACAGCTTCACCAGTGCCTACTGCTGGGAATCGTCTTAGTGGGTAGCAGTCTAGATTTTCCACGCCTTTATTGCGGCACAAAGGGGCAAACTGCTGGAAACAAGCTGAGCTTTCAGCAGGAATGAAGCCGCCCGTCAGAACGGGGCTTATACAAGCAGGCCGGCGCTCCTTGTAAGGTCGACATCCTAGCCTTCGCAACAGACGATCCACAAGATAGGGCTTCAAGAACAGCGAGTCCTGCCTTCTATAGCGGAGCCGTGACAGTCTGTCTGCAGGCCGAGACAAGATTACCCCGACGTATAGGAAACATGGCCTCTTCTCCTTGGTTGCAATGAACGACCGCCAGCGTCGCGCCTCGCACTTCCGTCCGTCTCGCTTTTCTGCTTCACGAAGCGCCTTCTTAAGCCAAAACAAAACAGGCAGGGATCCTAAGATCACCACGTGCCAGGTCCCTAGTCATAAAGCACGTAACGACGCTTACCTCCGTTCGTTTCCCGTCTTGCTCCAGCTTGCCCCCAGCCCTTTCTGTTTCTCGAAGCTCCTTCTCAAGCCAAAAGAATGCAGGCAGGCGGGATCCTAACAACACCATGTGGCAAGTCATAGTCATGAAGCACGCAACGACGCTCACCTCCGTTCGCTTCCCGTCTTTGCTCCACCCCGCCCCCAGCCCTTCCGCCCGGTAAAACTGGCACCCGCTGCAGAACTTTAGCGCCAACACGCTGCGGACGTAATCTACCGTCCGCGGCGCCAAGTCCGGTGCCAGCTGTCACGAAGGAATGTTTGCTGTTAAGGAAGTGGGTTAATGCTTTTTTTGAAGACGGTGGCTTTGTCAATGTCTAGTGTTTATAGAAGGTGGCTTTGCCGGGATCTGGAAGCAATTCCGTTGAGTGATCGTAAACTTTTGTGGAGAGATCAGCAAATTTCCAGCGTCCGCTGCGCTACGCTTACCACCAGCTGAGATAACTAACATACGCTCCTCAACAACGTTGGCCGTATATCGGCCAACTTAGAGACAGCAAGCAACGTTCAAGAGACTGCCGGAAAGGGCTGGTCACGTCTGATTGTCTTTGTGGAGAGGGTCAACCAGTATGCCGCGCTAGTTGACTCTGGGGTACTCCGCTGCACATCTCTGAGTAACCCGTATAGTTATTGCTTGAGGATGCGTAAGAGGATATGTCAAGTGGCCAGATGAGTGCGAATGTCTCGGTCAGCGAAAGGTCACAGCGGCTGACTCGGATTGTGCAATATCTCATCGATAGTCCAATCTCTTGTTACTGACCGCAAACAAGCTCAGCCATTCAGGGTTTTCTCTCTCTCTCGCTTACTTCATAGAAGTTTGATTCTGTGCGTAATCAGCTTTCCTCTTAGCATTCACTTTACTAGAAAGAACGTGAGATTTGGAACCAAGGCCGTTGCGAGACTCACCTGTATCCGAATCTTGCCATGAGCGGTCTCCAAAGCGACGACGCCCTGTCCAATAACGCAGAAAGCTCGTCAGAACGCGGCACGAATTTCCGCCATCTGAACAAGGCACCTAGCGCGTGTGCATAACCGAGGTACCAGAAGATGTAGCAGGGGACGACAAAGTGCCCTCGATAATTCAGCGCTCTTAATCGGAAGAAAACTGGTAAAGCAGTCTTCTGATGCACTTCGTCGCAATATAGGGAACTCTGGCCTCGAACTCGAGAGGGGCTTGGGCCTTGTACAAGAGGAAATGACGATCGCCTCATCCGAGATGGAAAGATTCCAGGTGGGCTGTTTTGCATCCAGAAGTGAAAGAAAAGAAAGACGGGCTTGTCTAAATACAGGACGAAACTAAAGGCAGGCAAACAGGCCGTGTTAGCTATTGAAGCAACAACTAAGCAACGACTTCAGAGAGCATCGATATTTGGAGACCTGGGAGATTGGGGATGGCAGATACAATATTCAGGCTCGAGAAAGGTCCCCTCCCCTGTGCTCAAAGATGCAATAAGATAATACACTGCAAGTTCATCGGGGGCCATAAAACCAATCAATCAACTCGTGACCTGCACTGTTTGATGTCCCCCTCGACATCGCATCTACTCAATCGAATTGCAATCTCAAATCTTAGGAGAATCTGTTTCGGGTTGCAAGCCTTTCAGCAGACGACTTAACTGCTAAGGGAGCAAGGAATGTTCAGAATCAGCTTCGAGAAGTGAGCCACAAACACTCACCTTGGAGGATACGATCCGTGTTCAAGCTCTTAACGGAGGACCAGGTGATGCACAGAATTTGAAAGATATCCATAAGTACGCTTCAAAAAGGAGCAACAAGCACTCACCATGCCAGTGGCGTAGATCATGCCGGACGTCCAGGGTACTTTGCCGGCACCCAATCGGATGTCCGGTTTCAACTCGTCCTGCTGCTTCTTCAGCCAACACTGCATAAGACAACGGGAATGATCGACTCCGTCAGAGTTGCATCGACGTCATATTTCCTCGAAATGGGAGCCCTCATTGTGAACAGTTCAAGGTTCTTAGGTTGCAAAGGAGTAGGCAAGCCACAAAGGGAGACAGTGACCGCATGTTGTACACTTAAGTGGTTGCACTTGCGCACCTAGTTCTGATCATTCTGACGGAAAGAGCACAGGTTCGCTTTTACAGGTGGCATGAGATTCAAGGTAAGTGGCTTTGGAAAGAGTACTCTGTATCCACTTCCACGAAAACAGGACAGATTGTGCACAGGCCCTGTCAATGGAGTGGGGACATTTGCTTCTGGAAGCGCGTGTTCACGGGCATTGTGTAACTGAAGAGAGCGCGTCTCATTGGAGCCAGCCTCTGGGGTCCTTGGAAAGTCAAGACAGACTCAGTATTGTACTCCTTCTGCAGCAGCTCTAGCGACTTTGTTGCTTCTTCATACTCCTGTAGAGTAACGCCGCAAACCAATTGCAAAGATAACTAGCTCTGATGCTGAAATGAAGTCCTCGAAAGGCCAAGCAGAGAAAAGCATGGTCTAAAGTGATCTTGGAAACCTTTCAACAAACTGGGAAACAGAAGCAGACAACCAAGCGATGATACAAGTACTCCTGTCCAACTTCCACGATTGCCTGGTCATGGACTTCTTCCTGAGTTGCTGGCCTTTCTTGAGTCCACCAAACCTTGAGGATACAAACGACTCCACGTATATACACCACAGGCTTCAGGCGCCGGCAGGCGAGCCCACCTCTTGGAAGTGCTCCTTGCACTCTGCCTCGTTTCCGCAGTATACCCATGAATCGCAGTGGCACAAGCCCTTGGTCTTGCACATCTCCCTGCACGAACCACAGCATGCCTCCGCCGACGCCTGCTTGTTCTTGTCCCCAGCAAGTGTCGCTGGGCCCCAAAGCTCCCAGCTCTCGATGCCGCGACAGGAACCACTTCCCGAGCTTGATTCTGAGGTGCTCGTTTCCTGCCTGGAGCTGGATTGGACCTCTTCTGTGCTCATCGCTTGTTCACTGACGCTTGCTTCTGTCTTTCCAGTGGTGGTTTCCAGACTCGTCACATGTTCACCAATGCTTGCTCCTATCTTTCCAATTGTGGCGTCCAGTGCCCCGCTGCTTTCCGCTGGCCTTCTGATCATTGTGGAGAACGCCCTTGTGCTTTCAAACGTGGTGAGAAGGGCGAGGAATGCCAAGACTGCGAGGATGGCTAGCTTGCAGCACCAGCTGCCGGACGCCGACCCTCCGCTGAGGTCAGGTCGCGGCGGTCTTCGCCGAGATCGCAACAGGGGGGCTACTTGAAGCCCTGCCATTCCTTGCTAGAACTCAGGCTTTTCCAATGTGGTTGATGCAATACTTTGCTCTGCTGATCAAAGCAGGTTCAACAATCCCAAGCACCCTGTTGTTGAAGCTTATCTTTCGTTTCTGCTGATCATAGCAGTTTGCCCACGTGCCACGCATCCGGTTGTTGTAGCCTTGATGGGAATGACCAGTTGTCAGCTAGCGCAGGTGGATACGGTTTGATGAGCTGCATCAGAATGTAGCTGAAGCCAATCTTTGCTTCTGCCAATTGAAGCAGGTTAGATTAATCCAAGCATCCTGTTGTTGGACCTTCAATCAAGATGACCAATTGTCAACTAGCCGCTTCCTTCATCTGTCGCGGCTCAAAGTACGGCATCAGTGATCTGCACTAGAAATCTGTGAGGACCTTTTGCCCAGGAGCCCTCAGAATTGACACATTTCTGCCAATTGAATGCAGGTCTGATTCGTTCTATCAGCAGCGGCACTGCAGTTTAGAGCAAGCAGCTCTTAATCCACTTGTTGATTATACATCAACTCCCACTTCCTGAGCAAGCGCAAGCTGTCGCCTTTGGTGCCCCTCCTGCAATGCGCCCCAATATTGCGCCCTTCCAATCTGACTTTCCTGACTTCTGTACTTGAGCAGAGGCACGTCTTTAAAATCCTGATGAAGCTTCTAAACCGGACTTCTGTAATGAACGTAACCAGGTTTGAATACCCCGGCGACTGCGTTGGCACCGCGCCTAACTGTGCAGCTAACCCAAGGCTAACTA